CCATTACACCGCCCAAACAGAAATACCAGAGTGTAATTGAAACGGCTTGGCCGTGTCACCCAAAAAACTAGTTGATGCTGGCAAATGTAGGTTAATATGTTCTTTCACATCCCACGTCCTGTGATAGGCTACCCCCCAAAAAAGGACGCTCCTTTTAATTACTAATGAACATTTAAAATCAGCTATAGTAACTAATATGAGACAGAAGGCTGGTTAAACCCCTCTGACCCACTGACCAATCTACCAACGAATAAAGAGGAATCCCCGTGTGAGCTGAGCGCGCGCACTGTGCGCGCGACAGAGAGGAACAACCGTGAGAGGAGCAGTGTACTTGGAATCATGCGCGGCACGTGGATACTGAGGCTGTGTACACGTGCTATCAGCTCGAGGCGGGGTGGCTGCGTATTAAAATCAGGTGCATGATTCGCAACATCACGAACTGGTTTTTTATGTGTTGTTTTTTTACCCAGGGTGCACGGCCATGGCCACAGTCGACCAAAGACCTATGTCCGTGATGTTTAGATTTAAATTATATCGTGAGATCTAGGTGCAGCGTGAAGTTGCTGTAATGGTTTAAAGCGTTATATCAATAGAGCGTCACTGCTTTATTGCTTTTTTATCTATCTGTTCGCCTATAACAATGGCGCTCTCAGCCAGTGAGCCACGGAGTAAATAGGCGGTTTAACTCTTATCGATTTCATGAGTCAGATATGATCTGTTCATTCATCATCAGCTCTCGCTACATTTAGATCGTGATTCAGGGGCTGGCAGAACTACATGTTTACTCCAAGCGCGGCTCTTGGAGCCAGTGTGGAAGGAGAATTTGGCACAGATTTCATGTTTGTGGAGCAGTGGGCGTGACTCCTCCCTGACATCGCCTCCTCACTTGTGTTTGGGGGGAAGTGCCACGATTGTGACCAGCAAACTTCTAATGAATCACATGTTTGTTAGTTGACAACCTCCCATTGGATGAAAACATCCAGAAGTGGTTTTGGGAGCAAGAACTTTAAGATCCAAAAAAACGCGGACGCAACGCGGGTGGGTCAGCACGTTATTGTTCCTTATCTGTCTGTAGATAAGCCTCTAATGGTGGGGCGACCAAACGTGGGGAAGGCTGTGGGATGACAACGTGCCCGGTCAGAGGGCGTTCAGGGTCGCGCTTCACGTGAGTTTGTTTACATGCAGAGAATCGGAAGTCCGCCGCAAAGACTGGAGGAGAGGACTTCCCTCTCTGAGCTCAGCTCACTCACTCAAAATCCTCAGACTTGCGCAGCCCAGAAGCACCTGGCAACACGCCAGAGATTGCACAGCTGAATTACAGTCATAAGCAAGAGTACAGTGCACAGAAACTCCAACTGCCTATAGCTTAAATAGTTTTCTGGATATCACACATTCATATAGAAGGAGCATAAGATGCAATTAAACTGGATACAAATCCCAAAGCATCAGACATGTCCAATAACTGCAGTGATCTGACATGACTCAAACAGACAATTAAAAAAAATAAAAATTATAATAATTAAATGGCAGTAAAACTTTATATATAACTTAAATATTAGCAATATTTGCTCTAATGCAGCTCACTGGCATCTGTGCTCACCTGCACCATTACCCTCAAAGTAAACCTGACAGCGTTGCTTGCCAGCAGCTTTCAGCATCGACCACACAATTTAAAGCTTACTTACCACCTGGACTGTTTTCCATGTTTCCCAGTCGATCGGTGTTGTTCGTTTGTTCCGTATTACAGTAGGCGTTTACTGCTGCACTGACTGCCACTTCTTGTCACCGAGGAGTTTTGTTGATACGGGTGAAAGAGTCATGAACTGCCACAGCATGTAGAGTGTATCCCAAAGCTCAGACCAAAAGCAGCGTGCACAGGGCATTGGGGTTCCTGAGAAAACCCGGCCAGCCCAAAAGAAGAAGAAGAAATAACAAAAGTAATAAAGAAACTATTTAAAAGCAATTCAGATCAGGTCTCTTATTGATCCCGATGTTCTCTCGAGGTGAACAGACGCACGGGGAAGCTCGACTCTCTGTCTGCACAGTGTGATGTCAGACGGATCTCTGTGTAAAAGGGTGTTCTCTGAATTACAGTGGTCCCAACGCGTTCAGCTGCTTGCCATGTACAGTCACCATGAAAACATGATCACAGTAGAAGTAGTTTAAACACTCCCACACTCATCAATAAGCAACACGCGTCCGAAAATAACCAGCACGTTTTCAGGTGCTTGAGAAATGTGACCATTTTTTTCCTCCCTCCCTGCTCTCCTTTTGTGTGTCCCTCCTGTTTGTTGGTGTGCATCAGGGATGTCTCTCTCTCTCTCTCTCTCTCTTTTCTCTTCCTCCCTTTCTGTGTCACGCTCTCTGACAACATTTCACCCCCACTCCTCCCTCCACACCCCCCACTTTTCTTTACTCTTTCTCACTTTCTCATTGGCCGAGAGCCCCGCGTGGAGACGGCACATCGGGCTCGTTCGACACTGGAATGCTGGTTAAAGCTCTGCAGCATGTGCGCGTTGCATGTGAGCTCGCGCTGCCCTACTGACACACATTTTATGCTAATGAGCTGCCTGGGCTCGGCGATAAGAGGGTGAAGCGAGGGAGAGACGGCGAAAGAGGAGAAGAGGTCTCACTCGGGCATCGTCTTCAGACCTCAGGATGAGACTCAAATTTGTTTTCGCCGAGGTTGCCGCACACACAAGGATCTGGTTCCGGGATTTGGTGGTGCAGTGTAGAAAATGAAGATGTCACTGCGTAATTCTTTGAGAATTAAACGGATTCTCAGTCTTGAAATTATGATACAGTTATATTTACCCACTAATACTTACAAGAAGATCCACTAAAACAAGGGTGTAACTTAAAGTATTTTACAGGAAAGAAGTATTTATACTGTACGCAGTGTTACGTAGTATGGAATTTTCAGGTATTTTACAAGAAACGAGTATATATATTGCAAGTTTAAGTAGTGCACAAGTAATTTTACTTTACAGTTCTATACATTAGAACAAGGGCTGACAGTTCATTAAGTATCCAAGTAACTTTTAAAGGAAAGAAAGACGAAGTAATTATACTGCAAGCTATTTGAAGTAGGGTGTAACTTTTAGGTATTTTACGGGAAAGAAGTAAATATATTGTAAGTAATGTTAAGAAGTGCGTGCCTAATTTTACTCACAGGTAGACAAGGGGGATAGCAATTCAAATTCATACTGCAAGCAATTATAAGCAGGGTGTAACTTCAAGTATTTTACATAAAAACTAGACAAAATATACTGTGAGTATTTTAAAAAGTTCATAATTAATTTTACTTAAGAATTTTTGGGTTAATATAGTTACATTGCAATTTCAAGTGAAATACACTGAAATTATATAATTGTAGTGAAATTACACCGTTACACATGGGCCATATTATACGGTGTTATCAATGTGCACAAAGAAAATCCTGGCAGGTAGATTATATACATATAAGACGATCTATTACAGACTGGATATTGTATTACATAATGTATACAAACAAACTTATTACAGTGTTCAGCAGGGTTAACACAAACCTCACACAGATCAGATTTAACAACCAATTTATATGAAGTGCAGTGTAATAAACTAGTGAAACAGCATAATGTGCATGGAGTTGGCTGTGATGTTGAGGATGGGTAAAATCCAGTAATTGTGGATTTGAAGCAGAATGCAATAATCGTCTTGGAATAACGAAGAATAAATGTAAGCTGTTGATAAGGATGGTGGTAGTGGGAAACAGGCTGTTTCTGTGTTTGGTTGCCGTGGTATGGGAGATCCGTAGTGCCAGCTGGAGTGGAGGAGTTTAAAAAGCTTGTTTCCAGGATGTGAATGTGATGATGCTCACTGCCCACTTCCTGGTTTTTTGAGTACAAGTCCTAAAGGGTGAAGAGAAGGGAGCAGCTCACACTTCCTTCCTGTTAGCTGTAATTGTAATTTTTTCTTTGTATATTTCTACACTGTTTTGCGGCTGCACTGAATAAGACCCTGATTGAGTTGCACAAGACAGATTCAATGACTGCAGTGTAGAAGTGGATCAGCAGCACCTGTATGCAATGTAAATAGAATAGAATATTGGGGTAACAACTTTAAGTTTTAATGGAAAGGAGAAGCAAATGTGCATTTGTTAATGCTTGTATTTATTTAACACTATTACTTAGTTTTTACATTACTTTAAAGTGATCCTCATTTCATTGTTTTGGTCAGTAACATTTAAGATGATTAATGAACCTGTCATTATTTTTGATTTGCATGAAATTCATGTCGAGAGCATCTTCTTAGATCACCAAGAGCCTGTAATTCTCTGCTTTAGCAGCCCACCTCACTCGTTGAGCAACTAAGTTAAAATAAACACAATCTAAGCAACTCAGAAATAATCAAATATAATTCTGCAACAAACACAGCAACTCATTATTACAGAACATGGCCACTCAGAATTAACTACATCACTGTTATCACCTTGTACCCGTTTGAGTGGCTTTAATGCCCGTGTTAGTTTCAGAATCAGAATACATGAATATTCCCTAAGAAAATTATGTGGGTTACAGTTGCTCCAAGACAATAACAGTAAGAGGCTGAAATAAGTCAATAATACAATATATTACAAAATTTACAAAATATAAGAAATAGCTCTGATAAATAACGTTTTTTATATATGTAGCTGTATTAATTGCTTATAAATGCAGCCGCATGTTGCAACAGATTAAAATATAAATATTAGGTGAGAAGTAAAATAATAATAATAGAATAAACCCCAAACCAATATTCAGCTTTAGTCCACGTGCTTTTAAGTGTAGTCAAAGCTGCTCGAGCTGAGAGCACGTTTTCTACCCATAGAACAGCGCCGCGTGTTCTCAGTCGAGCGGTGGAGGTCTTCGCGCGATAGACGATCTTCGCTGGAGAAGCGCCGGCACGTGCTTGAAGGGCGGCGCTCACCGTGACTCCCGCCGCCCCCCCCTTCCCCCTCCGCCTGCCGCCCCCTCCTCCCCGTCACGTTTCCTTTCTTTGTGCAGATTGTGTTTGCCAGAAGCCAAAGTATCGCCGGAGATTGGCTGGGACACAGCGAATGTAGGTCAGGAGCTGCTTGTGCAAACACGAGCCACGCAAAATAGCTCAAATGTGACTAAAACCGACGTGTCCTAGCGCTCGATAGACGCCGTGTGGCCTCTGCTGATAGGCACACGGCGAATTAAATTTAGGTCACGTAGCTTGGGCTCGGGGTTGGGGCTGGGTGGGATGTGCTTATTCAGAACCCTTTTCTCATTACAGAAAGGTGAGCTGAATCGTAAAACTCTACGGTGTACTTGTGGGGAATTAGGCTATGGGGTCACAGGGATATAAAACTCATCACCTGTCGTTTGGATATCAGCTTGTGTCGGTTTCAGTTATTATATTAACTTGTTATTCACCCCCCCATCATGGCTCCATTTGCGTCTTTATCCACACACGAGCTTTGTCTCTGTCTGCTGTTATGCGTCAACTAAATGCTCAAACGGAAGTGAGTCAGTAAGGTGAGAAAGGCATTGTCCGAAGTAACTCTAATTTATCAGTTTGTTGAACATCTATAGATATTTTCTTGTATAACAAAAAACAAACAAACAAAAAAAAAAAACAGATAAAATACCGTCCTTACATCTACCTTTGGACTATATTGAAAACTCATCATGTTTAAAAGCGTTGCCTGCAACATAGATAATAATATAATTTTGAAGGAATTCAATTTATATATATATATGTATATATGT